TCTTGCGTCTTCAGCATTGGACGCACTTTCAACCACGCCCTCGTCAATAATTTCTTCGTCACTGGAATATTCGCCAATATCTGATACTGTGGGGTCAAGAGGAGATAATAATACAACTAACGAAGATGCTCTCCTCTCGGAAAAAGTTCGTGTAGAAATTTCCTAAAAAAAAGTGAAAATGTATTCTCAATGTGCACTATGAAATACATAATATTCTACATAAGCAACGGGACAGAAAAACTAAATTTTCAGAAACAAAATATCAATAGTCTTATGCCTTTATCATTTATTTTACGTGATTCCATAAATGCAACTTCTTTTAGATAATTGTTATTGTAAAAGAGTAATATTTTACGAACCGCTGCTGTGCGCCGCCATGGCTAAACAACCTTCTTCAAAGTAGATACTGAGATCTGAATGAGCTATACAACCAACTTCTCAGAATGAATTGTGCTTGTATCTTGTAGGATACCGCGCCCGATGCCTTTTAAATGTTGCTTGGCCGGCATGGGAAACCATAGTAGGTAACTGTATAATGTGAGATACATCGACCGATTAAGGATTAAAATCTGGATAAATAAATACAAGGGATCATGTATTTTTCTTTAAACATCTAGCAAGGAGAATGACAATTTTAGAATAATTTTTAATAAAGGGCCTCACCGGATAAGTATGGTGAAATCGCCCCCATGACTATTACATAAACTAGTATGAGTTTTAATACTAGCACACTCTGAAAACATGATGCATACTACTTTTGGCCTTGATTCTCAAACGATTTTTGAGATAACGCGCAAAGGTTATAATTTTTCTCAAAAACTATAATAGATAAAAATATGGGACCAACGCCAATCTTTGAAGAATTTTTCAGCGATTATAAATTTTTTTCACATCCTTACATGTTTTTAAATGGTCAAAAAAAAATAAAAAATTATTTTGATAATTTTTTTTTCCATGTTCTAATATTCTTACACCAACCAAAAAAATTGTAGGTATTTTTTAGGGTATGTACTTTCACTGCAGCAAGTTGGATTAATATCAAAAAGGCGCTTTTTGAGTTAAGTAAAGTAAATATGAAAAGTGCCTGACCCGGTTACTCAGCTCTGAAATTGTTCTTTATTTCAACCTCAAAACATTTCCGAATTTACCTATTAATAAGCCTTTCGAGTTCAAAAGTATGAGCTTTTTACATTTTTGAGACACACAAATTAAAAACATCAACTTTTCAAATCTATGGAAAGTTTTAATTTCTTCAATGAGACACGTCATTCAAAATCCTATTTTTACTAGTTACTTAAGTAATTGAACAATTATTTTAAATCTTAAAATATAAAAAAATATTTATAATAAATATAAACTCGGAATTAATTGGTGTAGTTTTTATTATAAAAAAAATACATAGAACAATATTTTATTCATTTCAATTTTCATCATCACTATTATCATTTATAACAACATTAATGTTATCAGTTGAAAATATGTTAGAAAAAATTTCTGCAGGACGTATTATTCGTAACAAATATCGCCCATGAGCTAAGTAGTATATTACACTAGCCACGTGAGCGCAACAGCCAACAGTTCTGTTTCCATTAGGACAGTCACAACAATAACGATGGATCCCATTGATTTCGGTACTATTAGGAATATAATCAATATAAACACGGTAAGTTTTGTTATTTATATGCCGTGAGCGTACATTTAACTTGATTATATTTGGTGTTTGTTTGACATAATGTACACAAATATTATTTTCTTCAATTATTTCAGCCAAATATGAAATAGCTAAAGATAAATGATAAGAACCTGTGAATATAATTTTTAACTGTTCTTCGTTTAATCGTGGAAAGTCAAGAAGTTCTGATGCTACCAGTTGTTTAAAAGAGGTTCTTCGTCTATTCCATTTATTTTTCTCGACCTCTTCTCTCAATGAATTTAATACATGCATCCTTTTATCCATGTAATCAACAATAGTTTCAGCTAATGGACCATCTGAACTCAATCGTCTACCAAACTGATTTTGCAAAAATCCAACTACTTTACATACTAATTTAATTTTTGGAAGAATCTTGTTATCGAGACAGTGATGAAGCAACTGATATTTTTGAGCAATTGCACCGTGTACAGCTTCAACTACCCATCGTAGTTTTGTTACTCGTCTGGACATGTTCGCTTCTTCCGTTGATAATTGGGGTCTGTTCCCTTTGAGTGCAGGCATGAGTACAGTATAACCTTGTGTGGTAATATAATTTATAGCATCTCGAAAACCACGGTCTACTATGAATATGTCATTTGGTCGTAATAGAGATTTAAGATCCTGATTTTGTAATACTTCTTTCATAATCGTAGCATCATTTTGCGTAGCATAAAAAGGACCAACCAAATCAACGATAAACCCATTCGTAGTACAAATTGTAAATGGTTTACATAAATGTGTTTTTTTTTGGACTGAGTAAGATTTTCGTTGATATGCATTATTTTCACTTTTTTGATGCTTGATATAGGTTCCGTCAAAAATCAACACAAGTTGATCATTTTTAAGATTCAATAATTTACGAGCAGTTACCGTTGTGTTAATTAAAAGATATTCACGCGAAACAGAGTTAAGACCAAATAAAGTCAATACATCCTTTTCAAAACCTTCCAATACCTCATTAAAAAATGAGGATACTTGTTGTTCACGCGGTAAACCCAACACACTTGCTATCACTTTATTAGAATTTCCAGTCTTCAGTTTAAATAAAAATATAATTAATGCTTGAGTAATACTACGTACATTCGTGTTTCTCATAGAAGTAAAGAACTTTTCTAATTCTGTCACATTTTTCCAAGATAATCCTGTGAGTATTTTTAGTTGATCTTCAGACATATTATTTTCGCTCATTTTATCAAACAAAGACATATTCGCATTTTTTGATAATGTTTTAAAAAAAGAATTAATATCACTAGCACTTATTTTACTCACGTGTGAAACAACTCGTAAATGCAATAACTCATCTTTAAATAAATTATTACCAATCATATGTTTATGGCAACAACGATTATCTTCTGGTATAAAAATATTTGTCTTTCTAAAAACATAACAACGTGTTATTAAAGGTATCCGCTTAAGATTCTTTGTAGATCCACAAATAAAACAATATTTATGAGTAGAAACTACACGTTGCATATCTACATACATATATTCATCATTTTTAGTAATATTCACAGTAAAATCAGTATCATCAGGTTCGGAAACATTAATTTCAGGACACTGAACATCAAGATCGTTTGATTCGTCTTCAATAGAAATTGAATCTGCTGAAGTTGAAGGTCTACATTATGGATACCTGGTACAATTTGTTAATGGTCAAGAATAACACAAGATCTTTTGTGTAAATTGACCGGGATTTTACAAGTGATGTTTGTTAAAATTTTATCTTTAGTCTCATGAAATTGTATTTGTGTATGTTCAGTAGTCAGAGTATTATCGAAATAATTTGTTATTGCATTTCTTTTAGTCAAGTCAGCATGACTAATTAATGCGTCGAATGTTGTATGAAAATCAAAAACTGAAAATTCAATGTACGTTGGTTCATTAAATTCGTGTAACAAAGGAATGTATAATTAGTATTGCCCTTTGGTCTGTCCGTGGGCAGAAAGGGAAAGGTTCTTCGTATAAATAGTCAGAAAAATATTTAAAAGCTGAAGAAGAATTCATGATAGTCTGAAGCGCCACTATCAAATAAAATTTTGCAATCGTATTCGTTTGAGTAAATGTATGGTAATCTAGGTGTAATCGCACTTTTGTCGATTTTTTAAAACAATCATGATTTTTTCCAACCCTTACTGTGAGTCAGTACAATCCTCAGTAAAACTATCAGGTTCATAGGAGATGTCGGTATCAAGAGGTTAGACGGGAGTTATGTATTATGTCTTATTTTTAATAAAAAGAAGCTATTGTACAACTTATGCACTGCGTTGCATTTGATTATGTCAGCAAGACATGATATTATAAATACTCCCGTCAAGAATTATTTCACTTACTTATACAAGTGTATTGGTCTTTGCGACATCTCATTTGTGAGTCAATTTTCAACTTTTGTTTAAATAAAGTTTTTCTGTTTTTAAAAACGGATTTTTACTTTAAACAAAAATAACTCGGGTAAGTAACCGTTTCCGTATTCGTCATAAACATACAGGTCTTGCTCAACATTTGTCAATTCTTCAATAAGGGAATTAGGTCGTTGTTGGTTTTGGAAATTGTTAGGTCTTGATTGATTTGGAATATTATTTGGTCGTCGAAACTGGGAAACAGTTCTTATGGAAACGTCGCCAGTATTAGAATGTATTTGATAAGTATCCCCAGTAGCACAACAATATTGGTAAAATATTATATTTACATATTGGTTCAATGATGGAAACGTCAGATTTTTTTTTATTGGNAGAAACGACCGGTACGTGGTACAAAAGATAGGAGACCATGAAGGGCCAAACCAGACGTCGGCTTCTGTAGACCATCTAAAGCCATGGACAGCAGGGATAGAAAGCGAGATGGACGACAATGAAGAAGACGAAGACAACATCTGAGGTCAGATGTTTTACGCAGGATGGCCGAATGTAGTAACATAAGATATTATTAAGAAGTTAGGGTAGAAATATTGAGCAGTTGTATATGTGTGTGTGTGTGTCCGTAGTTCTAAGAAAATTCAAGTAGGTTAAGTTGTAAAGTCAAACCAGATGTTTTTTTACTAGATGCTAAGGGTAGTTTTTAAGTTGTTTCCTGTAAGGAGAAATCGGTCGAACCAAGTACCCAGGTAGTCGAAAAAAGCACAGAGGCTGTTGAGCGGGCACTTGGTGAAGACGTTAGAACTGTAAATAGCAACCTATTCATTTTCATTAAATATTTTTAAATTTTACAAAGTTTTCTTTTTTCTAAAAGTCCTTGCGCTTAGGACACTTGTTCTTTTATCAAAACCAAATCTAAACATTAGTGTCTCAACGAAAAACAAAAGAGATACTACATAGATTTATTGATGTCGCTGTCGGTAGCATTTTGAAAACGTTTTCGGACAGCTCCTGAAAATATAAACGTTTATAGTCAAATTTATAAGGTATAATTATACAGGATGCCACAAAAAATTAGGCTAATTCATTAATCAAATTCTTTGAGCTAATGTAGTTGATCTGACACTCTTCAATTTTTAGACAAAAAAAGAGTCTATGCTACAATAAAGAGAGCTTCTGTAAAAAACGCACTCTATTCTTGAGGCCACCAAATTGTGATTTCACACCTCAGCTAAAAATCCCTTTGCACTATCATTATTTATATAATATATCATCAAAGTTAGTATTATATTATATCTAAAAAACACCAAAATCAGGAAAAAAACTGTAGATACAATTTTTATGCCGGTTTACCTTGTAAACTTTGGTCTGTGACATATTTTTTTGTGATTTGATATAATCTGTAAAAGGCTCAAAGAAAATATTATGAGTAATGGATTGGCTCTCTTTTTGACACCCTGTTAATGTACTGTTTTTAATACTTACGTAAAACTGCAGTGTGACAAGCGAGCGTCTTAAAGGATAGCTTCCCCTTTTTGCCACTTCCTGAATATGGAATTGCTAATTCTTTTGCAAAAAGTTTTTTCATAATTAAATATATTGCCTTGTGGCTAGTTTCGCCCCCACAAAGATATAGTCGTTGACTCTAGAAAAAAAATTATATTAAATGAACAATTTGCAAAATCTTTTAACAATTATTAGATTCATTACCAACAGCTCAATATTTTTATCCTCTTTTAAAAAGTCTTCCAAGGATTTCAGTGATTCATCATCTACAACTGGTAGCTGCCATTGTTCGGTGGGAAGATTGTCAATATTAGTGTTATTATTACTATTTGATAAAAGTAACTCGTGGATTTGATTAATCGTTTTTTTTTGCGTCTGCAATTTCCCAATTCAATTTTTTAATTTCTTTTAGAATCACCATTTCACCAGCTAAACAAATTGTTTGTATTTGGTAATTAGTATTGCAATTATTACTCAACTATCAATATGTATTTGCTTTGTATTATTATTACCAGTAAACTTAGGTCGTAACTTATCCGTCTCATTTGATCCAATTCAAAGATACCATCAACGTAATGTGATCCGGATGAAGAATTTGTTCTATGTTTTGCCTTTTTGGCACTTTGGTTAGATGTCGTATCTTCATTAACAATTGATCTTTTTGATCCACGTGGCGGTGTGAAAGCTTACAGATAAAAAAGATTAAATTCCAAAATAATAAACACTTATTGTAGGACTTTTACATACCATTAGAATTTTTAGCTGTTACATCACTAGATATAGTTGGAGCTACAATATATGAACATATTAATTAAACTGTTTTTGTAACATTTTTACATGTAAAACTCATACACATACAGGCAAATCTATGAAGTGGCAATAACACGTCGTTGTCTTCATCATCACTACTGTAACTAATCCTCGCATTAAATTTCTTAGTGTTGTGGCTACCCACTGATTTTGGAGTTGTTGACGCTTTACCTTTATCTATAGATACATAGCCGATGGGTGATCCGCAGGATAAATTTGCTAACAAAATGAAATATAACGTTAATTTCAAAAATATTTTATAGATACATTTTAAAATTTATATGAAGTCGGCAGGTTTGTTATCAATTCTTACTGTGATTTTTATTTTCTGGTTTGGTTGCTATATTTTTATTATTATTCTTATTGATTTGGTCTGGAACATCGTCAACATCGGTAGTATCGACGCTAGAGGAATACATTGCTTTCTCACATAGCCTTTTAGCTTTTTCCAAATCTTTTATATCCCTTCGTTTAGCTGTTCCTTTGCTAATTCTGTACTTGACATTATTTAAAGGATCACAAGTACCAATAAGGCACAGGCGGATTTCTTGGGACACCCCTTGAGGCCATTTATATGCTGTTCTATCGTCATCTACAGCCCAGCATGATGGAATATAGTCAACATTTTCTTTGTTTGCCCAGAAAACTATGTCCCAAGACAACATCTTACAACTTCAATCTACAATAGAACTTTAGCGTCTTTTAATATTAATATTAACAAAAATACTTACTAAATAAACGTTAACAAAATCAAACAATTTATATACAAAAATGAACTAAAACATGAAATATAAATAACAATTATTTACAAAAAGAAAAATGGAAACACAAGTAGCAAAAGACACAAGGAGAATGAAACATACATACGACAACAAAGTGACAAAAATAACAAGATAATATAACAATAATAATAACAAAGCCAACAAAATAAAAACAATGCAGACAATAGCAGAAACAACTTGCCAGCGGTAGTAGCGACTGTAGACTATAGACTGTATAGATATGAATTTTTCGGAGTATTTATAGGACAGGGTTGTTAGTAAATTTGATAAAATGTTCTAGAAGGAAAAGTAGTGAGAGTGAGGGTGAAGACACTGGTTTATAGAAATACGTAGAATTAAACAGTATATGATTTAAGAGAAAGCAATTAAGGGTAAAACCAGATGTTAATATGAGAATGCATGCAGGTATGGTTGAAATTGGATTTCCAGATAAATGTGATTGAGAGAACAATAGTGTTTAGACTGAAAGGACGGCACGGTATGCATAAGATAAGAAGTTGAAAAGAATTGAAATAATATTTGAAGTGAAATAATATTCGAAATGAAATATTATTTGAAATGAAATATTAATTGAAATGGAAAAATTAGAAAAAAATATTTACACGTAAAAAAAACAAAAACAGTTATTTCGCCACAGTA